TATTAAAAAATGTTGTCCATCAATGGTGGCAATCAGTAGGCTAATTTCTAATGAAGAGACCAATTTATATGACAGATTTTAATGTAGGCTTTTATACATATGTAAACATTATTTAATTACCATTATAACTAGCTATCTCACAAATTTTTGCTCACTCAGTGTTTTTTTTATTTTACAGTGGGGGCATTTTGGTGCAGTAGCACGAGATAGCTTGATTTCAAACTTTGAATTGAATAAAAAATGACAAGTAAGCAGTCAGTAATAAAATAAGAACAAATAAAGAAATGAATAATGTAGCACAAATAAAAAATAACGACAGGCCTTCGAATTAAATAAATTGCTTTTTAGTTTTTCAGGTAGGTCTAACAGTAGGGTTAAGATATTTACTTTTTTTTTTTTTTTTACCAATTATCCAAATAATGTTTAATCCTAGAAAGCTATTATTATCAGAGGACACGTGAGCATAACGGTTAGCAGATCAATGAATGAGAGGGCAGCGTTACCAGAGTTGCCCATTTACCACACCTTGTTACAACACAGTAGGGCTATTGCAGACTGAAACAATACTGTACTACATCGATGTTTCCTGTCGGCTCAGTTTTTGAGTGGACTTTGCTGTTCCGATTCGCATGAACGGTATATGAGTGGAGCGACTGAGCGGAGCGCACACGCATAGAGCGGGATAATACGCAGAGCGTCACACCACGTGAAAGTGAAACCTGAGCGGTGAACTAATTTTCGGCAGCCGAAATTTCGGTGCATCTCTCATTATTGGCGACATCAGAAATGGATATTATATAATAGATGCTTTTTTGAACATTTTAGCAATTTAAAAATATTAAAAAATTATTTTTTACAGGGCACCCCTGCTCTCGACAGGGGTGCCGCGGCACCCCGGTTGGGAAACACTGGTCTAACTGACAGGTTTTATTTTTCTTATCTCTTACTTAATTGGCTAAGAAATCAAATACACTGATGGGCAATTACCAAAAATTTGTCTCAAGGTCTGCATTTAAAGTCACACCAGAGGTGTTCAGCTGGGATTAGGACTTTGCTTTCTGCAGACCAGTCAAGTTCTTCCACACTGATTGAATCAATAATTTCTTCTTGAACCTTGCCTCATACACAGAGGCATTGTCATGTTTAAATAGAAAAGGGTCCTGTCCAAACTGCTGCTATAAAATCTGAGCACACAATTCCCTAGAATATCATTATATGCTTAAACATTAAGATTTGTACTCATGGAAATTAGTAAAGTAGATAGTAGATAGTATATATATATATATAATGGAATCATGGAAATTAGTAAAGTAGATAGTAGATAGTATATATATATATATAATGGAAGTCTGTAGCATAAGGCTTGTCCAGATGAATGTTGAAGTCACCAAAGACTAAAAGTGAACTGCCATCCTCCGGGAATGAGGACAGCAGGCCATCCAGCTCCTCTTGGAAGGTGCCTAGAATTTGCCCAGGAGGGCGGTAAATTACCGAGTTTTATAGGAGCTGTTACAGTAATCGCATGAGATTCAAATGAGTTATAAGACGTGCAGTAGAAGATGTAGAGATAGGATGCAGGGTAGCAAGATTGCGTTGCCATCTGCGTGTGATGTTAGAGCGTTGTTGA